ATGTAGACTAATAATGATGAAAAATAACAACAATATATTCTAATCTTAATTCAGATCACAAACTGGTCTAAGTCAGACAGCCATTAAAAATCTGGAAGAATTGATCATTTGTCTTACCTAAGTGTAGGACTGCTCATCAATGAACACCCATGACCCTGCCATCGAGGATAGAAGGTCAAGATCCTTAGTTTTGCTTACCAACTCTGAACTTCCAAATAATTCAGTCGGCGTACAAAGGTTTACATTTCTAAATCTAATCAATCCATCATATAAAGCAGTTGAAAATATACATGTTTCGATATAACAAGTTAGTAACAATATTCTTGATATTGATTGTATGAGTTAGATTTAACTCATTGAAATGTAAAAGATGAATATACCTTATACATTCAAATTTTTTCATCTCAACACTCTTTTCTTCTTGATTCCGGACAAAATATTCATTAAAACACTTTGTTACGTTCTAGTGACTGTTATCTTGTATTATACAAAGGGATATATTACCTATTAACGAAATCAGAAGGGGTTTTGTAGAGATTTCAGTATTTTTCATAATTGATATCATGAGTCAATGGAAGGTAGATCACCATGGAAAACCTGGAAGTACTGGACGGCCGTTTCGTCCTATTATGGGACTCCTCGGTGGCAGTGCTCATCCAGGATCCAGCACTCACAAGATTCGAAAACATGGCAATAAGATAAGCTTTACTTCAAACATATTGACATTAAGTCGATTAGTCAATGTGAAATACTTTACATCATAGATGTTAAAAGCATTAAATAGTTGTCAGGTATAGAGTATTCACATGCTATTACGATGATTAGGTGAATTGCATTAAACTATGTGTGTAGATTAGAAAAAAAGTTAAGAGGTTGGATATTGAGAGATTCTAAGTTAAGAAACAAAAAAAACAATATAATACCTAATCTGTAAAACCAAAAGCTGATGAGCAATGATGGATAGTGGCTAGAAGTGGAATCCAAGACGTGTGGGGCTCTTCAGCTGTATCTCAGAGTTGATGTTCACTCTGGGACTCGAACCCAGTACCTTTCGCTTCAAACGCCATCGCGTTTTCCATTCAGCTACTGAGTCCTGATAGCCACTTGCTTGTGCAATAGGGCGAAGTTTAAATTCATTTAGTATTGTTTGTTTGAATCTTCGCATTGATATTTAGAACTGCAATTGATCACTTATTGGCATATGTGCATACTTATGAATTAAGATAATATCGAGGCAATCTGCACAGTATGCACATATGCCAATAAGAGACTGACCGCTTACAGTCCTAAACATCAATAGGAAGATTCAAACAAACAATACTAAGTGAATTCAATAGCTAATGAATTTAAACATTTATTATCCGCTTCAACCTTAATTCCTTCCGTTGAAGCTAACTAGTAATTCTCATTATAAAGAGTAATCACTATGGTTCAGTTATCAGAAATGGTTTAGAGAAATATGTTAAAGTGACACTTCCCCTAATAACTTTAATAAGTGAGATAAGTAATACTATCTAGGCAATTCATATCAAATCTATTTATAACTATAAATTATTATTTAGTGAGTTAATTACAACTTTAGTGTAGTCTACTTATATCCATATAAGTAGTGCGTGGTGATAGTCAGACATAGAATATGCTTTGGCAGAAGATTGATAAGTAACGAACAGGGATGAAGCGTAATCGGTACGAAAATGCATGAACAATGATAATCAGAGAAGACTGACTGATATTTGCAGAAGGAACAGTGAAGATTGAGACAATTGATTGTTATTTTGCAAATTAACTTTTTCCTACTTTGTGGTTAACAGAATTTAGTGAGATAACCAGTGTTCTGGTTTTTTTCACCTCGTTTACTCTGCAACTTGGATAGCAGAATATCCGGGTTTTCACTATTCAGAGTGTTGTCCAGGAACAGTGAGAACCTGCTCTTCACTTCCACGGAGTACTGATAAGCGTGGTCAACACCAGCTATGACTACAGAACACACTGTGAACGAACAGTCAACATGATCATCGCAGAGGAACGGAATGAAACAATTGATTGAAAGTTAAACTATGAACCCTGTTGTATTGTAATGAGCAAGAACACAAGTGGAGATAGTCGAATGTATATGAACACAAAATTATAGAATATCTTAGTAAAATGTCAATCAATTGTCTCAAAACTTGACTGTTCCTTTTGCAAATATCAGTCAATTGTCTCAAACTTCATTGTTCTTACATTTCCACACCAATCATTCATTGTTCTAGTTCTCTTTTCTTTGATCTTTTTAACCTTCTGCCTTCAGGCATGTTACTTTCGATTGATGATGCATACTACTTATATTCTATCTACATCAGTAGCATACACCACAGTATGGTATTCTTTAATTAATTTTAATTTCATAAATGGTAGTCCGAATCAAACTGTAAAGCGTTAAGGTGGGTCTCAAGGTATTCTAGCTCAGCAAACAAAATAAAAGAGTGAAATCTTGAGCAAACTATGCGCACAAACCGTATATTACTGGTGGGCATCAATTTCAAGCATAATGAGAAACATTCTCTGAAACTCTCCAAGAATAATCATCCAGGGTTTAAAATATTGAGAAGCATGTGCTGAACACTGACTGACAGTGTTTAGGGAATATTATGGACATGTTAGGTTTGTCTTTGGTGTGTTTAGGGACTTGAATGTTGCTTCTCATTAATTCTCTAGCGTAGGTACAGGATTGAAACAAAGGCGGTGCAAGCTCACTTAGACTGGATCCTAGTAAACAATCAATTATACACCGTCCTATTAAAAGTGACAGTAATAACTTTGAAGATAGCAGCATGTGATATTATTTGTACGTTTTCTCTGCCTTCACTTCCACTGAAGTTCAAATGAAGTAAAAATGAGTTAAACAGTGAGCTCTTCACCATTTAAAAATCAAAACACTCAGAAATAGTAATCATTGTTAGTGATTTTAATTTGATAAATATCAGTCTGAATCAAACTGTAAAGCGTTTAGGCGGGTCTCAAGGTATCCTAACTCAGCAAACAAAAGAACAGAGTGAAATCCTGAGCAAACTATGCGCAGAAACTGTATATTACTGTTTAGCACCGATTTCAAGCATAAGGAGAAACATTGTGTAACCTGGTGGTTCTGAACATCAATGCATAGATATACACAAATTAATCATATAGTCATCATTATTTGTTGGATAGGATATTCGGAAAGCCATCTGTCCTTCTAGAGTGGATTCCTAGACTCTTATCATATCGTTGTGAGAACATACATTTCTATACATTTTTGTGGATGTAGAAAAATCACAACAAGACAATCTTTTAGATGTAAGATTGAAAGTGAAAAGGTCAGTAATACATTCAGAGATAAAATAGGTAAACATTTGGTCAATCAAGACAGTAATTTCATAAAGAAGCTTAATAGCGTATTCAAATAGTTTTAAGTACAAACGTCATATTTGGCGATAACTTAACTCCAAAGGTTACGGCAGACAAGTGAATTTCGGTAGCATTAACTGAATCATTAAATGCTCGAAAACCCATCCGGTCAGGCTTGGAGATCTATGCAAAGAAACTACAGCCCAAACTTAAACTAACAAAAGGTTTACACAATAATCTTGAACAGTGGCTTGGAATGAAAGCAAAAGAGTTTGAACAAGCACTGGTGATAAGTAAAACTAGACAATTCTATCGACTTATCAAAGAAATAAGTAGTAAGAAGACTAAGATTATCAGAACATTATAGATAATCAACCTGTTAATTGGTTCATTTAACACAATTTCCTAGCTGTATATACTATATATTGATCAGATTTTCAAAAACACAACCACTTGGAGTTTTGTTTCAGGTTAAGCCCTCTCTCTTTCTGTTATTCCAATTTACAGAAATGATTAATCCAGACTTAACATATTACAATCGATTGACCACTGGATGGTGATCGATGTCATACGTGTCAAGTCCTTCTTAGTGCTGATCGAATGCTGACGAGTGCCAAGTAGCACGAAACCCGTATCCAGGGTTTCCTGTTAACCACCTCCAACCACCATCTTATCTCTAACATATTATATAAGAACTTGAGAACACACTATTGTTTAATTGAAATGTGTTTTCAATTCAATCTTGTAAGGTTCAATTCACATATCATAGTCTATCAGTTTCTATGTAGTATAGGTGCAAATATAATCCACAATCAACGATAAAAATTATTAGACGCGGCTTTGTAGAGATTTCAGTATTTTTCATAGTTGAAATCATGAGTAAATTGAAGCTAGATCACCATGAAAAACGTGGAAGCACTGGACAGCGGTTTCGTCCAATGGTGGGACTCCTAAACAGTGCGCATTCATTACCCCGCACTCGCGAGATTCCAACTGAGAACCTACCAGTCTTGTGCCAGAGCACTTAACCAATAGACCATTAAGCCGTCATCCAACCACGTCTGTTGTGAGATAAAAACTCACTGAAGACAATTGGTAAAAGGTTGCTCAAACTTTGTGGATTGGTTGAAGTTAGACATTAACACCGTTGGATGCCATCACAGTGTTTATAGAGGTTTGGCGCTCGCGTGTGAGACCGATTGGTCCTGGGTTGGAAACTCGCGAGTGCGGGATCGTGGACGCGCACTGCTGAGGAGTCCCATAATAGGACCAAACGGCCGTCCAGTGCTTCCAGGTTTTCCATGGTGATCTAGCTTCAACTGACTCATCACTTCAAATATATAAAGTCAACCTAACACTTAATCTTTAAAACATAAATGCTTAACCAACTGCTTGTATAAAATATGTAGCGGTTTATATCAAGCTAACTAGTAGATACTTTGTATATTAGGCGGGCATGAAGTAATAATACAAGCTTCAGATTAATAAAATCTTGACATTGAAACTAGAAGTAGATGGTTTAACCCCCGCTACATAAATATCACTTTTGACAAATCAATATCTCTGTGATTGTAGTATCTTAATAAACGCTAGGAAATGGTTCGCTGATTGTTGTCGGAAAAAAAATTACTTACATTTTAAATATTCTCTATAATTAGGTGCTTTTAAATGTTGTAAATTAGTTGAAGGATCCATCCAATTATCACAACCTCCTGGTGGTAATAATAAACAATCCTCTTCTATAAGTGGTAATTTACGTTGAGTTGGAGTAAATGGTAAATGCATTTTTTTTAAATTTTGATTATTAGAATATTCAATAGATCGTTTTGAATCAACTGTATAATATTGATTAGGACTATGGAATAGATCAGTGTTCATATTAATTTGACGAGGATACCGATTCCTGTTTATTGGATTGTTATAGTGATCATATCCATAACGATCTTCCGAAAGGAATGATCTCGGCGATATGTATGTCATATAGTTAGGATATCTAGTATATCGTTTAGAATTATGCCGATTATGATAAGTGTTATAATGTGTAGTTGATCGGATGGGAGATAGTGTTGTTTGATAATTATTATTTTCATAAATCCATCTTTTTTGTGATGTTTGTATTTGAACAGTATTTGGACAACTAGATGGTATATTCATAAAGAATGATTGAGGTGCATTACGTAACTGTCCACAAATAGATAGAAGAGATAGGCATGTTGATTGACAAGGTATATCATGAATCTAGAAGATATTGGAGAACAATAAAAAACAGAAAAGAAGGTAGCTGATTATTTTCATAACCGAATTGTATTCGTAAATAAAAAATACATGGCCTAAATGTAGAAGGAAGTCACTTTGATCAGGTACCTTTGTGATAACACAACAAACTGAATACTTAAAACAGGAAACTTGCTACGATTCACTTAACGCAAGGATAAAAAAAAACATTGATGGTGTGATGTGTACTACTGATTTCAACAGATATAAATACTATATATATCATCAATTGAACGTGAAATGACTGAAGGCAGAAGGTTAATGAAGATTGAAGAAGAGAGAATGAAAACGAGAGCAGAGAATGATTGGTGTGGAGCTAAAAGAACAATGAATTCTGAGATAATTGACTGATATTTTGCAAATGAAGTATTTACAGTATGGTTCTCAAATTTTACGAAGAGATACTGTGATTTCGTATACAGATACACTTGGCTATCCCGTAATTGTGTTCACGTTCACTACAAGATAATCAGTATAATTACTACTATTACTATTGCTACTACGACTACTACTACTGCTACTACTACTACCACCAATACCACTACTACTATGACGACTACTACTACTACTACTAATAGTACTACCACTAATACTAATACTACCACTAATACTAACACTACCACTACTACTACTACTACCAATATCGATACCAATACTACTGATAATATTAATAACATTATTTAACGAAACGTGAAATATTTTACCCCTTTTTTCTTGAACATTCCTGATTCATAAACAGGATGTAGATACCATTCTTGTATAGAAATCGAATAAAGAAAACATTTTCACCTTTCTTTCCCTTACTAACTTGAATCTCATACACTTAATCCAATTACCTTAATAAAAATCTTATATGAATTCAAATGATCTATTACAATATCATTCATCTAAATGGAAATGATATCCCTTCTTATTGAATAGGCTATTCAATATTCAATATACCATATATATATGTATATGAGATGATCTACTTGGCGCCATTCTTATATCGTATTCCTGATAGAGTTAGAAAAAGTCATTCCGCTTTATGTACGATGATGTACACTTCATCATAATGAAAATGATAGAGTTTAGCTAATTTATAATGATTAATTATAATAATTTTATTTATGAAATTCTATAACGGTAAATAGTTATTTACAATTATTTTATGAATTGTGTTACATTTTGCCTACTGTCCTTCCCCCCCACCCTCCACACTCCCCTTTCACTTAACATTTTTTTCATGTCATTTATTTATTTATATTTATTTGTTGAATCGAATTTTCATATTTGAAATCATGAATCAATTCAAGATAGACCACCATGGCAAACCTGGAAGCACTGCTAGACGGCCGTTTCGTCTTATTGTGGAACTCCTCAGTGGCAGTGCGCATCCATGATCCTACCTCGCGAGATTCGAAACCAGGACCTACTAATTTCGCGCCAGAGCACTTAACTGATAGACCACTGAGGAGTCCCATAATAGGACGAAACGACTGTCTAGTGCTTCCAGGTTTTCCATCGTGGTCTAGCTTCAATTGAATCATGATTTCAACTTTGAAAAATACTAAATTCTCCACAAAATCCCTTTTTATCTAGAATTGAATTTTAATATAAGTAAGGAATTGATATGGTAACTAATGATTACAAAATGTTGTTACTTTAAAGTATTAGAAAGTATTGGATGTTACTAGACGATGTTGCTATCTAATGGATGTTTAAAACTTTCATCAACATTTTGATAAACATATTGAAATGATGAATAAGATTAAGTGAATGAGTCAACATCAACTCTGCGAGATGCAAGTACATCCAGCTGACGAGTCTAAAATAGGACGGAACGCGCCTTGTCCTGGATTCCACTGCTAGACACTATACATCTTTGCTTATAATGAGTTTAGTTGTTTTTTTTTTCAATGATCTGAACAAGAAAGTTAAATTACGAATTTTTTGTTGCCATTTTGGACTATATCATCTGTTCTTAGTTTATTCAGGAGTGAATCAACTTCCACATGGCTTATAAAAACTTAAAAGACTAAAAGATAAGTCTACATAACTCATAGATAATCAATTCTTGCCGACAATGTTGCTTTTGTTTTCATGACCGATTAATGTAAACTTATTTAAAAACTACAAATAGATTCTAGTAAGTAACAATTAGATCAGTGCTCCTTCGTCAAATGTGATTCGATTGATGTATGCTGTGTTGCATCGGAAAGACTTGCTTTTCCATTTGTGTATGTTGAGATCTACTGCTGGTTAGGCTGCTGCTACACTGGTTGTCTTCTCCTGAATTTGTTGTTGCGTGTGCTATAGAAGAGCCAGATCGTCCAGCTGCATCCTAGATGTCCATTGTATCCCGTGCTTTCCTCCAGATGTTGACGTCTTCATAATCTAGCCGATCACCAGGAGAAGAAGAAAGGGTGAGGGTAAGCAACCTTGCTTGACACCAGTATTTAATTAAAACGAGTCTGTCAGCTGTCCTCCATGCATGATTTTGCAGTTTAATCCATCATAGGAAATGCGTATGATATTGACTATCTTCTCAGTCACGCTGTAGTGTCGAAGAAGCTTTCATAGTGTTGTCCTATCCACGCTATCAAATGCTTTCTCGTAGTCAATGAAGTTGATGTAGAGTGATGAATTCCATTCAACTGATTGTTCTACAACAATCTGTAGTGTCGTGGTTTGGTCGGTACACAATCGATCCTTATGGATTCCAGCCTGTTGATCTCGAAGTTGGGCGTCTACGGAGTTCTTCATTCTGTTTAACAACACGCTGTTGAAGACTTTCCCTAGTATTGAGGGAGGAGTGATGCCTGTGTAATTCTCACATCTGCCGAGATCGCCTTTCTTTGGCATATTCATCAGGTGTCCTTGGCTGTAAACTTGACTAATTCTAATTTGTCTAAAAATTTTTCCGGAAGCGTCAAAGCTCATAAAAACAGTTGATGTACCAGCCAATTGGAGTTGGTGAAGCCCGATTGGTGGATTAAAGTGGCTCTTTTGGTAGAAATACTGTCTTTTTGAGGCTTTCATACCTAAGACGTGGATATGTTTTCGTGGGGAAATAGTTAGAAACCCTTGGGTATTGGCGCGCGGGTATCTCACAGAGTTAAGTGTACACAATGTACAGACTTATGACACAGAATTTCACTTACACGTCTCATGATATGCATATATGTATACTTGCCTCAGTGGGTAGATACCCGCCGCTCCATTAATTCGCTTTTGGTACACTTCTTGTTTCTTTATTTATAGGCCCGTTTCTTAAGTATTCTATTGGGATTTTCTTGACGAAAGGCAAACAGTCTAGTTTGGATAATTTTGTGAGTGAGTAAGTAAATAAGTAAGTAATATTATTGGATCTACACATTTTGCTTCAGTTAACTTTAAGTGTTTCGGATATAAAGGTATGTACACTTGTTACATATTAATGATTAATACTATGGTCTTAGGTTATAAGCGATATGGAGAGTAATAGGCTAATCAATTACAATGAGATTGATACATAAAGTTTATTTCTTCTAATCCTATGTGACATGTATTCAAATCTTAAGAAGGAATATAGATTCTGAATTGTATAGTTTTTTATCTAGCTAGAGTTATTTATTTACCAAATTATGTTTTACGGGCAGTATCATTGATAAACAACGAGGATCTGATGTGAATGTAAAGGAACGAATCGACAAAGAAAGGGAGGAACATATGAAACTTAAAACAACTATCACGCAATATTAAAGTCAGAACAATCAATAAGAACTTCAAGATAGTCTATCGTATGGAGTTGAAACTTGAAGAATTACCACAACCCTAATCAAAAATGTACAAGTATTTATAGACAATTGTCTACGCAAGATACGCAAGATACTCTGTTAGCCAGATTCCATTAGCAACAACCTACTGTGGCAGAGAACAAGTCAGTTTACAGCTGAAGAGGAAATTAGAAGAAGATGTTAGAGGTAAATAGAACATACATTATGAGAATCATCATGCTGGGTCATGAGGAAAGCCATAAATTGAAATCCTGAAGGGAAACAGAAAAGAGGAATACCAAAGAACATAGTATGCCATAAAATCGAAAGCAGACATCAAAAGAATGAACAGCAGATTTTGTAAAATCTCAATAAATAACTTTCATTTTAATAACTGAATTCATGATTCAATTAATGCTTAACCACCGTAGAAAAGACCTGAAAACACTGGACAATTATTTCGTCTTAGTACAGAACTCCTCAACAGTGCTCACCCATGATCTCGCCTCGCGAGATTCGAACTCAGGACCTATCGGTCTCGTTAGTGAATGCTCCACCTCTAAACCACTGAATTGGCCAGCATTCAAAAATATTATATATGTAATACAAAGTTAGGTCATTTTTCGGAAATCATTTTACCCAAATATAAATCAACCTACACCACCCCACCAAAAACCAAAACAACGAAATCGAAACTAATCTCTACACCTTCCTAGATAAACAAACACTTGACACGACCCTCCTATCAATGTTTTTTTGCTGAACCATCAAATTCACTATCACAATCCACATTTACTACTAGTGTGGTGTGGGTTACTGATATCCACATAAGTAGTATATTGTGAAGATTAGAAATAGAAAGTATTTTGGCAGAACATTGATAAGGAAAGATCTGAAATGAAGCACGATCGGTAGGAAAATGCATGAACAATGGAATTAGGGAAGACGGGCTGATATTTGCAGAAGGAACAGTTAAGATTCAGACAATTAATTGTTATTTTGTATGGTTATCAGAATTTAATGAGATAGTCTGTAATTTGTGTTTAAATACATTCGATTGTTCCCAACTCGTGTTCTTTTTCATTACAATACTACTCCCTAATCAGATTTAACTCTAATAGAAAGATTACTCTGAACGTTATCCGATAAACTAGCATCTTTAAAAGCACCCCTTCGATCTTGTGCACTATCCACATACACTCCAGAAAAAAAAACCCATTTAAATCAATAAATTAGCATAGCAACTAATAAGAGATTGATATTATGTTACTTACTTGAAATGATTTTTCATTAATAGAACAATTAATTTTTTGTAATATAAAAATAATTTTTCACAAAGTAAAATAAACCACCAAAAAAATCTGTAAAACTTTTATCCTCCCACCCTAATTTAAATCTATTTTTTTTCCTTTACGTTATTACACTATAGATATTATATATACAATGAAAACTTTGGTCATTTTTCGACAATCATTTTACCAAATGAAAATCAACCTAAATCACCCCAACAAAAAACAAACACAACACAAAATACTTAAAAATAAATACCAAAACTAATTTCTACACCTTAGTAGACAAACCAACACTTGAAACAACCCTCCTATCAATCTTTTCTTCTTCTTTTTTTTACTGAACCATGAAATTCATTTTCACAATCCACATTTACTACTACCACTACTACTACTACTACTACTACTACTACTACTACTGTTGTGAACAAAACACTAGTTGGGGACAATCGAATGTATTTAAGCAAAGATTACAGACTATATCAATAAATTCTGATAACCAAACAATGAACAGTCAATTTGTAAATTAACAACCAATTGTTTCAATCTTCATTGTTTTTTCTCTAATTCCATTGCTCATGCATTTTCCAAACGATTACGCTTCATTTCAGTTCTTTCTTCATCGGTCTTCTGCGAAAATACATTCTATATCTGACCCACACCATATACTACTTATATAGATATAAGTAGACCACACCACACTACTACTACTGTAGTGAACAGAACACTGGTTGGGGACAATCGAATGTATTTAAGCAAAAGTTACAGACTATCTCAGTAAATTCTGATTACCAAACAATGAACAGTCAATTTGCAAATTAACAACAATTTGTTTCAATCTTCACTGTTTCTTCTCTAATTCCATTGCTCATTCATTTTCCAAACGATTGCGCTTCATTTGCGTTCTTTGCTCATCGGTCTTCTGCGAAAATACATTCTATGTCTGACCCACACCATATACTACTTATATAGATATAAGTAGACAACACCACACTACTACTACACCCTGATCAGACTTAACTCTAACAGAAACATAATTCCTTACATCTTACTTGATAAAAGCACTATTTGTAACTAACCTATTCGGTCTTGTGCATGACACGTAAACACCCTCCCCCCCCGAAAGAAAAAAAAATTTAAATCATTAAATGAGCATAGCAACTAATAAAATTAATTAATATGATTCTACTTACTTGAAATGATTTTTCATTAATAGGACAATTAATTTTTTGTAATATACAAATAATTTTTTTCATTATTATATCATAATCCAATTTATTATTATTATTATTATTATTATTATTATAATCTAATGATAATTGTTGAATAGATAATTTATCACAATCATTAATTAATAATTGATTACATAATCGATATTTTATTCCTTTATTAAACCAATAACCAATTAATTGATTAAATGAAATTGATTTATTATTATTGATTATTATTGATTTTTGATTATGTTGATTATTTATAATTTTATTATTCAATGTTAATAATATAGAATTAAATAAAATTGAAATGATTATGTAATAAGTGATTGACATAATATTTCTTTAATAATAAACTATTCAATAATGTAATTAGATTAGATTAGATTAGATTGAATGGATTAGTTTGGATGGATATAAATATATATATGTACTACTAATAATGAATATTTAGCCTATTTAAAATTTCTTCAACATTTTATATACAAGGAGAATAAAGTTATCATTGCGAAAAAAAAGAAAAAAAAAAGAATAAAAACCATCACAACCACCACCCCTCCGGTAACAACTTTTTTTTCAAGTTTTTCTTTTTTCTCATTTGTAACTAGGAGAAACATAAACTCACACTCACACATACACCAGCACACACACACACACACATAGTTTTTTGGTTGTTAGTTTTACAAATCCAATTTCATTAAGTTAATATATAAACCAATAACAAGTTATTGTTGTTGTTTTCTCCTTAACTATCTAAATGTTTTCATGTTTTTAAAATGGGAGAGTTTTTTTTTTATTAAAAATTTGTCTATAATGATTGGATAAATTAAATACGGTGCCATATTACATGATAATAGTTAAGGAGAGGAAAATAAAACAAACAAACAAACAAACGAACAACCAAACAAACCATAGTGAATTCATAAATTAACAAAGAATAATCATACAAATTATTATTGTTACTAACCATTTGAATGTATAGGGTGTCAATATGGTATCATGAATATATAAGTGTTTATTTCATGAAAATATGGATATTATATAAAGGGTTAAAAGTAAAGATTACCTTGATCTTCTGCTTGTTATAGAGATATACATAGGTACAATCACTTAGAGATAAGAAATAAAGGTAGGTAGATAGACTATTAAGGGAAATATTGAATAACCAATAAAATCTCTTATATCTATATTATAATCATAGGGAAAGGTGTTGTAATGTATATTATGGTATAGAATATGACTATTATCTGAATTGGCGCCAGTTTTTTTTTTTTTAAAAAAATCATGAATATAGAATAATAGACGCCAAATAAAAGAATAAATACATACACGGACGCACACACGGACGAAAGCACGCACACACACGCACGCACGTACAAACAAACAAATAAAATACATTAAAGAAGTAATTTTGATCTATAAATGTACTTATATTAAAAAGAAAAAAAAAACTTTTTCTTCTTTTTTTTCTTTTCTCTGTATATAAAACAAAAAAATTTTGTCTTCCGAGTTCCATTTTGATTCAAAACTTAAAAAAAAAGAATATTGTTGATGAGACTGTAATTTATAGACGAAACAATCAGATTCAAAATAGTAGGTTTTGAATTTTTGGTGTAAGATTCATCTACTCATTCGGTTAAATACTATTTCATATAGTTGAAATCATGAGTCAATTGAAGCTAAACCACTATGGAAAATCTGGAAGCACTGGACGGGCGTTTTGTCCTATTATGGGATTCCTTTACAGTGCACATCCACGATCCCGCCTCTAAAGATTCGAACCTAGGACCTACCAGTCTCTCACCGGAGCACTTAACCGATAGACTTCAATTTCAACTATTGGGCACTTTCGTCACTTATACTGAGAAACGTCATAAACTTTTGATAAACCCACTTGAATAGGTTATATGATTAATAACCATAATGATGTATTAGAACAAACAGACGAACAGAAGAAATATATAGATGACAGGAACAAGTAGTCCAATTATTCATTCAAGACTGATTAAAAGAAAATCTTAATTAATAATATTTTCCATTTGTGATAAATGTTTAGTAGAATCAAATCACAATCACTCTGATTGTTTGTTTGTTTGTTTTTTAAAATGAAAAAGTCATTTAAATCAATTTTGTTTTCTAAATAATTTTCATCATAAAGTTTATATCAAAATAAAACTGGGAAAATTTTGTTTTAATGAAATGTCTAATTTTTAATGTGGAAGATTTAAAAAACAAAAAACAAACAAACAATCGAATAATGGTGAAGTGAACAAGAATACGGATAAGAAGACAATCGAATATATTATAGCACAAAATTACAGACTAACTCACTTAATTCTAATAACTATACAGTCAACAGTTAATTTGCAAATTAACAATCAATTGTCTCAATCTTTACTGTTCCTTCTGTAAATATCAGTCCGTGTTGTCTTATTTCATTGTTCATGCATTTTTATACAGATTGCGCTTCGTTCCGATTCGTTCCTTATCGATGTTCTGTCAAAATACATTCTATATCTGACCATCGCCATATACTACTTATGAGGATATAAGTAGCCAACACTACAATATGTGTATACAATTTTCTAGTTATATAGTTTAGATTTTTGAATTAGTTTATGAAAGATTGAATTAAAATGATTTATAAAATTTATATTAATTTCAATATTCATTCAATGTTGAATAGTGATGTGCATCATTGAATGAGTATATCAAAGCTAATCTACTTTGAACACAAAGATATGTGTTCGCGCTCATGACTGAAGGACTTTGATTCGAATCTCAACTATGAGATTGTGGATGCGCAATGCTCAGGAGTCCCATACTAAGAATAAATAGCCATCCAATGCTTCCAGATTTTGAATGATGTTCTAGCTTAGATCGACTCGTGAATCCGCCTGTGAAAATAATGTTGAAAGACTATTTATAATGTGACATGAGGATTTAAAACATCATTTTTTTCTGCTTCTGTATCTAAAGTAAAGGAGTTACAGGTATCAATGAAGTTCCACTTAACTTCCGTTAAATATCGTTAATAAAATGAATGACCGTTCGGTATACATAAAGTGATATTGTGGTGTGTATTACTGATGTTGATTGATATAAGTAGTATGCATCATCAACCAAAAATGAAATACCTTAAGGTAGAAGGTTAAGAAGATCAAGGAAAAAGAGAATAGCAACAAAGAATGATTGCTGTGGAAATAAAAAAACAAAAAAAACAATGAATTGTGAAACGATTGACTGATATTTACGAAATGAACAGTCAAGTTTGAGACAATTAATTAACGTTTTGCAAATAAAGCATCTACTGTATAGTTCTCAGATTTTAATAAGATGCTCTGTAATCTTGTGTTTAAATATATTCGACTATCCCCACTTGGGTTACAGTTCAATACAGGGTGACTCTAAAAAAAATTAATATCTACGGTAGAATAAAGTATTTATTCCAAAATACCCATAATATTAGGAAATATATATAGATGGATGCAGATGATTCTTTCCAACAAATCCTTATGGCGGTATACAGTTACATGTCATAATTAAGAATAAAAAGAAATTGCCAAGTTTCTGGAAAAAAAATCTTCTAAAAATACAAAAAATTAATGAATTTAGAAGCAAAGATGGATAGTGGCTAGTAGTGGAATCCAGGATGCGCATTTCATCCTATTTGGGACTCGTCAGCTGGATATACCTGTATCTCAGAGTTGATGTTCACTCTGAGATTCGAATCCTGAATCATTCACTTCAAACGCCATCTCGTTATCCACTTAGTTACTGAGTCTTGATAGACATATGTATGTTTAATAGGGTGAAGTTATATTCACTTGGTGTTGTTTACTTGTATCTTACTATTGTTATTCAGGACTGCAATTGATCAGTCTATTGTTATCATATCTGCATCCTGTGCGGACTGCCCCAATATAGCCTTAATTCACAAGCATTATAAGCAAAGATAGATAATGACTAGCAATCAAAGATACAAACAAGCAACAGAAAGTGAAATATATGAATTCAGATTTGTAACTCAAAGCAAGTTTCCATAGTTGAAATCTTGAGTCAATTAAAGCTAGACCACCATGGAAAACCTGGAAGCACTGGATGGCCGTTTCGTCCCATTATGGGACTCCTAAGTGGTCTATCAGTTAAGTGCTCTAACGCGAAACTGGTAGGTCCTGGTTTCGAATCTAGCAAAGTGGGATCGTGGATGCGCACAATTCCACTGAGGAGTCCCATAATAAGACGAAACGGCCGTCAAGCAGTGCTTCCAGGTTTGCCATGGTGTTCTACCTTCAATTGACTCATGATTTCAACTATGAAAATACTGAAATATCCATAAAAACCCCTTCTGATCAAAGCAAATTGTTAATGTATGAAAGTTTTGAAATGAATGTTTTATTATATATACACGATCTAATCTATAAGTCACTGAAATTTATGTCAATAATAACCGGCATATACATTAGTAACATAAGGTAATAGATATCGAATCATAGATCATTTGTTCAGTCAATGACTACTTAATATATGAAATAAAGTAATATACATATATACTCATTGAATTAGGTCATCTTATAATTGATCTGAATAATGAGTGATTAAACACGAGGCTGAAAGAAAAAGTTCTGATAAGATGATAAATAAGACATTAAGAACATAGAAGTCTACCATTCTAATTTGTATGGTATTTGTTAACTTAATTTAAAAGATATTAAGTTTAATGGTTTTTAAAAGATTATTACAAATATGGTAAACTATTGAAAATGTTTGACTCGGACTAGCTTTCTGTCTTTTTTGATCTTTTCGTTCTCTTAATCTTTATGCCAGTTACCCCTCGTGGAGGATCATAGGCTGCACACTAGAATTATCCATCCAACCCTGTCCTGAGTAATCCTTTCCAGTTCTTTCCACTTGTTATTCATCTTTTTCATATCTGCTTCTATTTTCCGGTGTAATGTGTTCTTTTGCCTTCCACCTTTCCGCTTCCCTTCAGGATTCCAAGTTACGGCATGCTCATGATGCAGTTCGGTGGTTTCTTCAATGTATATTCGATCTACATCCATCGTCTTTTCCTAATTTCTTCTTCAAATGGAAGCTGGTTTATCCTCTTCCATAAAACGTTGTTGCTGATAGTATCTGGCCAGTGAATGTTGAGTATTTTGCGTAGATAACTGTTTATAAATACTTGTATCTTCTTGACAATGGATATAGTATTTCTTCACGTTTCAGCTCCATACAGTAGGATTGTCTTGATGTTCGTATTGAAGATTTTCACTTTGAAATTAGTTGACAGCTGTTTCGACTTCTTCGATCGTCCTTGCATTGCCAATCCTTGC